CCTCTCTCCCTGTCAATTCTCTTGAAAAGGGGAGAGGAGGGCAAGGGAGAGAGTGACAGCGTGGTAGAGAAGAGGAATTGGCCAAAAAGTTCAACAAGTAACAAGTGTTTATAGCTTTCCAAGCTAGCTTCCTGTCATCATCAGTATACTTACATACGTTTGCATATCGTTGTAGCCAGCAATTTGGGTTTTTTTTTTTTTGAGGCCACTACTTTTGTTTATTTTAGCTTTCTTTTTGGCATAATTATCCTTTCAATTTAATCTTATATTTTGTTGTTTTTGTTGTTGTTATCATTAATCTACAATTACATGAAGAACATTATGTTTACTAGGGTCCCCCCTTCACTAAGTCCCCCCCACAAACCCCATTACAGTCACTGTCCATCAGCGCAGTAAGATGCTGTAGAATCACTACTTGTCTTCTCTGTGTTACACAGCCCTCCCCATGCACCCCCCACCCCCAAATTACACATGCTAATCATAATACTCCCGTTCTTCTTCCCTGCCCTGGGTCTTTTTTTAAAACACCTAAGTTTATGTAGACCTTTCCATGGGTGGATGCAGCCCATCAGTGCATGGCAGCCCTGTTGGGACTCCATTGTTTGCTCTCATTTGCACCTGCCCTACCTTGTATTGTTAGTGTGTGTGACTTTTTTCTAACGTTGTAGTATGGTTATTTATCATTAATAGATTACTGTTAATACTTCTTAAAGCGTGTTTCCTGGAGTGGAATCTTTTGGGATCTTTCTTTTCTTGTTTCTGTTGGATAGTAGGGCAGCCCCTTGTTGATACTGAGAGGTTCAAGTCTAGAAAGGTTGCCATTTATAATTTGGCTCCTGGTTTTCTAGGGATTCCAGTGGTTCTTGCAAAGAAAAAAGTGTACAAGTCAGCCAGACCAAGTTTGGACATATATCCTTTCAGAGAGTGAACGAATTCTGTTTCTGACATTGCAAGGTGGCTTCTGAATGCTGCACTACATGGCCAGTCCCTTGAGGAACAGTGACCATGCCACAGGGATAGAACAGGCCACCTCCTCTGGCACTCAGCCTTTGTGAGTCTTGTGAGGAACATTCCCCCCTCCCTCCACAGACAGTGCTTTTAGGCTTCATTGAGGACTTGGCATTCTTGCTGTCGGGGTAGCGTAAGCCAGTGTGTATCTTCCCTTCAAAGCAAAATTGTTCAATTATGTTTGAGTTTAGGTAACTGACACAGGTTACTTCTAGATGTCCACAGGTGCCATATTGTTGGCAGTATGCATTAGACCATTACCTGTCTTCCTGCCTTCTTTCCTTGGGATGTTTTATTCAACAAGTGTGTGTTGAGAATCCATTATTTTCTGGGCCCAGGAGCTGTTGCAGTAAAACTTGACAGCTGTGGTCCTACCGCTGGGGTTGGAGTTGGGACTCCTGCTGACTGGGAGGAGGGAAATAGGGGTTCTCAGGCAGGATGGAGGTTGAAGAGGGTGGGTGAGGGATGTGCCTGAGCGGGGATCGGCACAAATGAAGTGTTGCTGACAAAAAGAAAATGCCAAGGTGGGCACCTGTGAAAGCTGGCTTTCTCGTCCCCGTTTTGTATTTTAAGAGAAGCAAAAGGCCTTGTTGCTTGGGCAAGACTACACCCTCCCAGAGCATGCATTTATTATCAAATAAAAGTTAATGATCAGATTTAAGCACATACACAGTCACTATTGTACAGCACCCACAACAGTTAGGTGCTTGGAAGTTTACCTGTTACCATAATTGGTAGCCCTGGCCGTGGGATTATGCTTGTTTCTGTCTTTGCCTGCTTTTAGTCACCCATGAGCAGCATGGGGGCTGCAGCATTCGAGTGCCTGGGGCGTGTCCTCAGAATGGCCATGTGTACACGCCACCTGTCTAGAGGCTCTGGCACCTCTTACTGCACCCTTCCCTCTTCTGGGTGGCCCAGAGCTCTCATCCTAGTACCCTCTCCTCTCCGCAGGTGGAGTGATGAGCTGCTGGGGACAAATCTTGGCTCTCAGGGCCCCCAGAAGCGTGGAGCTCAGATGTTCTTTCTTAAAAGTCTATAAAACATGGTCGGTGTGGATAGGCAGGCATGGGGCTTGATCTGCAGCTGGCAGGGTCTGCCTTGGTCCCTTGGCAAAAAGGCACATAGCTGGGCAGCCTTATGCCATCTCTGTGGTCTGTTCCATTTTTGCTTGTTCACCTTGTTCCTTGAGCTAGAGGCCCTTTGTCTTCCCTACCCCCGTCCTGTCTATTCACTGAGGGTCCTGGCTAAGCCTTCCTTTTCCAGGAAGCCTCCCTGAACACACTTCTCTCCATATGATGACCTCCTACCTTTGCATTCTGGACTTAATGCGCCATACAATTCATCAGCATTTTTGGAGAGGAAAGTATATCTGATTTGGAGTCTAGAGAAGGTCCCATTTTCCATATATTCTATTTCTTTTTTTTTTCTTTCAGTTTTGTTAGGGTATAATTGACAAAAATTGTAATATATTCAAAGCATACAACATGATGATTTGATATACACATACATTGTGAAAGGACTCCCACAATCAAGTTAAATAATATCCATCATCTCACGGAGTTCCCTTATTTATTTATTTTGGTGAGAATGTTTAAGATTACTCTTAGGGAATTTCACTTATGCAGAACAGTTTTATCAAGTATAGGCACCATACTGTTCATTAGATTCTCAGACCTTATTCATTTTATGGCTGAAATGAAATGAAATGAAAATTTGTCTCCTTTTTCCAGCCTCTCCCTACTGTCTCCAGCCCCAGCTTAGGCCATGGCAACTATCATTCTAGTGTTTCTGATTTCACCCCCCTTTTTTTTTAAGTTTACATGTAAAAGTGAATACCATCCTTGACTTTATCTGGCTTTTTTTACTTTCAGCTATTTGTTTTCTAAGTGTTCTTAGACAATATCAGTAAGCCTCACTAAAAATACCAGCACAGGCAGTCACACCAAACATTGAGTGCTTGCCACGTGGCAGGCACTGTGCTCAAAGCCTTCCTTCCGTGTTCTCACTACACCCTCCCTGTCACTAATTCTATTGTATAAATGTTAACTCTAAAGGCAAGAGACTGTTCAGAAAGATCGTGCTGAGCAGACCATGCATTATAATGTCTCCCAAAATAACAAGATGTAACTACATGCCTGGAAAAAACTCAGAAAGGATATGTACCAACATATTAACACTGGTTATATCTGTGGGGTGAGATAGAGGTTGTTTTTTCTTTTCTTTTATACCTTTGAAGGACCATTCCTTACCCTTCTTTGCCCCCCTTGACACATTTCTGGATGAAGCACGTAGAAAATATTCAGTAAAATAGACAGGTACTACTTGAGGTAGAACATGAAGGTCTCTTCTTCCCTTGCCTTCCTTGGACCCCGGGGCTGGTTGCTCTGGTTTTGTGAGTCACTATAGTAGTTGTTGGTGCAACTGTGCTGCTGTTCATCTGGGAAGTTCCTCAGATGGGCGCACCTTTGCACTGCCAGAGTGGAGGCCTCCAGGGGTGGAGGATGAGCTTGTCCTGTTGTGAGACAGAATTTCCGTGTCTGACAAAGGATCAGCCCTGGCAGCAGGTAACAGAACTGACCGGCCAACTTGTGTTATCGCCCTTGGTCTGGCAGGGTGTGGAGTATGGACAGTCCTGCTTGCGTGGGGACTGCGGCATAGCTGATGGAGGTTGTCAGGCACTTGAGCTGCTCCGTGCTAAGGTGGAGCTGCTTCAAACAGCGTGGCTTAACATTCCAGCTAGTGTCCTGCTGCACTGTACCCTGGGCATGACCACCCTGCCTTGAACAGGTAGGACAGGCTGCCCTCTGATGCTCTTGCCACACTCAGAACTGCTATACTGTTTTTTTTTAAGCTTTATCTATTGTCGGCCTCCTCCCGGTCTCCGACCCGCAGATAGAGGAGGCGACGCGATGAGATATCGAAGTCCTGAGTAGGCCAGCCAGGGGACTCAAGGCATACCAGCTTGAGTGGTGCCGAGAGGGCACCCCTCGTATTTATTAGTCACACAAATACATCTAAGGACAGTAGATGATCTCATACATACAACCAATGGCTCGTTGTGTTCTCAGTGCACAACTCCCTCCACAGTTCTTCCCAGCACAGCACAATAGGGGAGAGAACAATGTTGCAGGAACTGGCCTTGGTTAAGGTACAACATTCCTTTAAGGAACACATCACATTTCTCAAGGCACACATCACTGATTAGTAGAGAAAAACAGTTTGAGTTATGATATTTTGAGCCCACAATCTATGATGTTTTCTTTGTTATTTTATTTTTAGGTAACTTTTAAATTCGATGTAATTTTGGGCATACAGAAAAGTTGTTAGGAATAATACAAAGATCTCTGGTGTATCTTTTATCTGGGCTCCCCATCAGCATTTCACCTCATTTGCTTTACTTGTGCATGTTCTCCCTCCCTCCTGCCTCTCACTGCTCCATATATGTGTATGTGTATGTGCATGTACGCACACATACACACTGAACCATTTGACAGTAAGTTGCACGCAGTGTGCCCCTTTACTTTTGAATACCTCGGTATATATTTCCTAACAAAAAGACATTCTGTTATATAATCATAGTACTACTACAAAAAACAGCAAGTTCAACATCGATATAATGCTCTTACCTAATCCACTGCCCATATTCAAATTTTGTCCACATTCAGATACAGTCCCAGGAATGGCAGAGCTTTCTTTTTTTTAAAATTAAAGTATCATTGATAGACAATCTTATGAAGGTTTCACATAAACATTGTGGTTTCAGCATTCACCCATATTATCAAGTCCTCACCACCCCCACTGCAGTCGCTGTCTATCAGCGTTAGTAAGATGCCATAGAGTCATTACTTGTTTTCTCCGTGGCAGAGCTTTTATTTTTAAAGAAACCTTGCCTGAGGCACATGGGTGACTGGCTCCTCCATTGTGTCTGCTGGAGGAGAGCAGGACCAGCAGGTGTGGTGACTGCAGCATCACCAGCTCCTTCTGTTCTATAGGACCAGAGGAGTGAGAACAGCAAGAACCATACTTGGCAGAACCATGTCCGCGGAATTAGAGGCCTCAGAGGGGGTGGATGAGTCGGAGGAAAAGAGCTCTGGGGCTTCAGCAAAAGAAAACCGCACCAGGTGAGTCAGGGGGTACCCAGGGCTGCTGTGCCTCACACACCTTTGTGTGCTGGAGGTGCTGGGGTGCAGTCAGGCCAGGCTGCTGTGGCCCTTGGGACATCTGGCTGGGACTGCAGGGACAGTAGAGCAGCCTGGCTGCCCAGCACTGTCCTGTTTGTTCCTGCAGAGGCAGGACAGGCAGTGCTAGGAATGCAAGTCATAGAATTTGACCGTATTCCTGGTCCTTTTTCCTCCTTAACACCGTAAGCATTTTGACACCTGGTGTGGGAAACGATAATCAGAGGCAAAGCTGGCACCTTTTCCAGTGTCTTCCACCCCTTAGAATATGGGAGCAACCTTAATTCCAGGGGTTTTTCGTACTGGGTGGGACCAGTTCACACTAAGCTTCAAGGTACTGAGGCCTATTCTCCATCATTCTTAGCTTCTTGTTATAACCCTGTTACTGGCAAAGTTCTTTTTTTTATATCTTGGAATAATTACTATAATAAATAATTCTCAGCACATCGGTAATATGAGCTAATCTCTTAAAGAAGCCAGCAGAGGCTGGGCTGGGAGAGGCCAAGTTTTTCTCAGTCTAATAGATGGATTGTGTGGATACAATGAGTTCCTGCTCAATGCCACCATCTTTAGGGTCCTGTGTTCTCTGCCTTGTCCTGTCCTGGCTGCTGGCATCTTCAGCACAGCTCCAGCCTCCCTGGCCTTTGTCTCATCCTCATCCTACGCCTGGGCCCAGCCACATGGGAGTCCTGGAGAAGCTATGGGTCCATGGTGAGAGGAAGGCAACAGGGCTGTCCTGCGAGATCCAGTCTCAGTCCTTCTCAGTGGCATGGATTCTGGGAGACACTTTCCAGAAGGCTGGCTGTTCTGGGAGAAGCCAGTCAGCACTATGGTGGGATTAGCAGTGTGTGCTTCTTTGGGCACATAAGTAAAGCATTGATGAATGGTGTAGTTCAGAGAGACGTGGACACTGCCGAGTAGACAGTTATCCCACGCGTCACCTGTGCCCTTAGGGCAGATTCCCATCTGCTGCCCTGCACAGCCTGGCTAGACTGACTGTGCTAGAGTTGAGTTTCTGAGCAGCCCCTGCCTCCTGCTCAGCAAGGGCACATACTGGGCTGGGAAGGGCTAGTGCGCATGCACGGTCTCTCTGCAGGATTGCCGACCTCTCTGAGCTCCTGAAGGAAGGGACCAAAGAAGCACATGACCGGGCAGAAAACACCCAGTTTGTTAAGGACTTCCTGAAAGGCAACATCAGGAAGGAGCTCTTCAAGGTTTGTGCCCTTGGTCATGGATGGTGTTGACTGAAAGGCCTTTGTCCCATGAGGAAGGTGACCCTGGAGCTGGTCTGAGGGGGGAGCTGGGCCTTTCTCTCCACTCCACTCTTTGTTGATGTCCAACTGGTTTTTATGGCTTGGGTGGAGTAACATAATGATGTAAAGGAGGCAAAAATATCCATATTCCAAAGAATTCACCGTGTCATTCATTTAAGAAACATAAGTTTTCTGGGTGGGTGAATGATGCACTGGATAAAAATGGGCCTTTTGGGGACCAGCAGCGGGGGTGGTCCTGCTTGGACATGGTGGGTCTCTGGGCTCAGAGTTGGCTACTGGGGCTGCAGCCCTTTCCCACCGTCTCCCCATCACCCTCAACAGCTGGCTACTACTGCACTTTACTTCACATACTCCGCCCTCGAGGAGGAAATGGACCGCAACAAGGACCACCCAGCCTTCGCCCCCTTGTACTTCCCCCTGGAGCTGCACCGGAAGGAGGCGCTGACCAAGGACATGGAGTATTTCTTCGGTGAGGACTGGAAGGAGCAGGTGCAGTGCTCCGCGGCCACCCAGAAGTATGTGGAGCGGATCCACTATGTGGGGCAGCACGAGCCGGAGCTGCTGGTGGCCCATGCCTACACCCGCTACATGGGGGACCTCTCAGGGGGCCAGGTGCTGAAGAAGGTGGCCCAGCGGGCCCTCAAACTCCCTAGTTCGGGGGAAGGGACCCAGTTCTACCTGTTCGAGAATGTGGACAATGCACAGCAGTTCAAGCAGTTCTACCGGGCCAGGATGAATGCCCTGGACCTGAACCTGAAGACCAAAGAGAAGATTGTGGAGGAGGCCAACAAAGCCTTTGCGTACAACATGCAGGTACTGCTGGGGGTGGCTGGGAGGGGGCCTTTGGCAGCCAGAGCCCACCCAGAGCTGCCTGAATGGGTGCTGGGCAGCACAGGAGCAGCCACACCTCCCAGAGCTCGTGCTAGGGACAAGTGCCAGGTCAGTGTGGCTGCCCCCGCTGCCACCTGGGCTACTGCTTTGCTGATCTGCACTCCTGAACAAGCCTTGCCTGCTCCAGCTCCCTTTACACAGGCAGGATTTTCCCCTGAAGACCAAGTGTATACACTTCATTGATGGCTGTTGATCCTCTGCCCCTGCAGATATTTGATGAACTGGACCAGGCTGGCTCCTTGCTGGCCAAAGAGACCCTGGAGGATGGGCTCCCTGTGCATGATGGGAAAGGAGATGTGCGTAAATGCCCCTACTACACTGCTAAAGACAAAGGTAGGTCTTGCCTGTGTCCAGCTCCTTCCCCAGGGTGGGTATGTTGGCATCCACCCACTGATGGGTCCCATTGGTGCTGCCATGCAGGTGCCCTGGAGGCCAGCAGCTGCCCCTTCCGAACAGCTCTGGCTGTGCTGAGCAAGCCTGGCCTTCAGTTCATTCTGGCTGCCGGTGTGGCCCTGGCTGCTGGTCTCTTGGCCTGGTACTACATGTGAAGGACCCATCACACCATGCTGGCACACTCCTCCCGAGTGACCACTGACCCACCCCTGCCTGTTCCCGTGACTAAACTGCCACCTCAGGTGACTTTTTTTTAATGCTGGGTTTGAGAAAAGCAACCAGTAAACAGCCAGATGCTCAAGCCTCTGCCGGTCAATGTTCTCTGAGAGCCAGACGGTGCAGGCCCATCCCCTGCAGCCCCCAGACCTTGGGGCACCCAAACATCTCACCTGAGGCTTGTTCCCTTGGATCTTCCTTGTTCTGTTGGCATTTAGGTGTGTATTTTTCCCCTGCTGGGAGCAGAGCAGCCAGCAAGCCCAGGCTGTCATAGCTCTGTGGGAGGCAGGAGGACAAGGTGAAGGGCAGAGGCAGGCTTGCAGCCTGACACAGAGGCCCTGAGGAACTCCCTCCTGGTAGCCAGTCCTCACCCCTCCCCAGCAGAAACCCCCAAGAGGGGCCTATTCAGCCACGGCCTGTCTCCCCTTGACCTGTGTAAATGCTATAGCACTCAATAAAGTGGACTTGGACAGCTGCCTCCCTCCTTCCTGGTGCAGACGTCATCCTTCTCGCTGGCCCCAGCAGCCCCCCTGCCATCCTGTGCCCGATAGGCTCGATCACCTTTCAGCAGTTCTCCTCCATGGCAGCCACTCTTTCTCATCCTTAAGTCTGTCTAGTCGTGGAGCTTTCTAACTCAGAAGTGCTTTGAAGGTTTCATGTTTGAAATTTATTTTTAATAGTAAGGATAAAGAATATACTTTGTATTTATTATTATATAACAATTCATTGTCTAGAATAGAAATGTCAACTTAAATATTTTTATTAATAGGAATCTATTATTTTATATACTGAAGATCTGTAAAAGTTTTATTCAAAAAAGGGTTGTAAGTGGAGGGAAATGTCTTTTTCAACTGCTGACTGAGCCTAGCCATTTTCACAGTTCAGATGGAGGGGTAGGGCTGACCCACCCAGACTGCCTGCCTCCCTAGTGGCTCTGTCTTGCTTAAAGGGACCAGTGGTACCTGTCTGCAGAGTGGGATGACCCTGAGCTCAAGCTACAGGGCTCCAGCTTGCAGATCCCCTGGGAAGGTGCCATAGGGTGGAAATGGGTGAAACCAATATCAGAGATAGTAAGGTGACCTTACAGCACAGTGAGGGTATCTCATGCCTTGGCCTGGTCACGGCTGGGAATCCCAGGGCTCATCCGTGCTGGGCTTTGGCTTGGCTTAATTAGGAATTTAAATGTCATTGTTGTCCCTGGGCAGCCAGTGTGGCATAAGTACTGAGACTGAGGACTCAACCCCCTACCCTTAGACCACCTGAAGCCCCACCCTCTTTCCCTCACAAAAGGAAGCAGGCAAGAGAGCAGAGGCCCAGGGCAGGGGAGAGAAAGGGCCAATTTAATGAGAAACTACAAACTGAGACCAGCCACGATTCACAGTGAGAGGAGGCCATGCGGTGGCAGTGCGAGACCAGGAGAAGGGTGGCAGCAGGATACAGTGGTCTATGTGAGCAATTTCCACAAACCATTCAGGAAAGAGACCATGTGGGCTCAGGCCCAGGGCAGGGCTGGCACCCACCAGGGCATTTCTGCCACCTGTGGCTGCTCCTTATATCCCCAGTGCTGCAGCCACTCCTGCCACAGAGCCTTGCTGTCCGAGCAAGCACAGCAACAGCAAATCAGCCAGGGCGAAGGGCCTAGTGTTTCCTGCGAAGATCCGTGGCGAGCATCCATGGGTGGAGGTCATACTCACACACAGCAAGGACGCGGTGCAGACAGATGAGCGAGGCCTCTGGGCACTCCTTCTGGCTCTAGGGAAGATGGGGTCCAGACGCACGGCTGGAAAGGGAGCTGGGCCAGGGCCAGAGATGAATCCCTTCTCGGTGAGCCAGGCTCCTCATGTACCCCATGACCTGCACAGGTGTGCCCTCTATCTTACCCCAGGTGGCTTCTGGGCACTTGGGCAAAGTGTTAAGAGTTCCTGAGAGTTCTGAGAGCCAGAGTCATTCCTTCTGACCATCGTGCTTGCCTCCAGCACCCCAGAAACAATCCCCGGCCTAGGAGCCTGTGCTGCTTGGGTCCAGCCCCCTATGCCTGGCTTAGCAGACCAGAAAGGATGGTGGCTGTAGGCCCAGCCCCACTGCAGGCCCCGGGCCTGGGGACCAGCCTCTGCTCCGACTACTTGGTCCCGGGAGAACCAGGACCGAGGCTGTACCTTGTACAGAAGGGAGGGACGAGACCTCAGCCGGCAGACCATGCAAGGAGACCCTTCCCAGCTCATCTTCCTTATCATGAATACCAAGCTGACCAACACGTGAACTCAGAACTACCATCCCAGCTACCTGCTGACCCTTGGCTTTAAATCCAACAGCATTTCTGCCAGAAGAGTCAGATGTTCAGGGAAGGGCAAGCCAGGAAGGACAAGATTCTGGGGGACTGGGGGACAGTGTCCACCCCCGAGCAGGAGCGGGGAGCAGGCTGCCGGGCACAGGGAGCAAAGCACGGGGGGCCAGACTGACAGCGGGAGTCCAGTCCCAGCTCTGTTAGCACAGGCGCTTGTACGTATAGATGTAGGCTTTGCAGCTGGGGCACGTGTGCGTCACATCTTTGAAGTCATTGATGAGGCAGGGGATCAAGCAGCAGCCCAGATCACACCTGAATCAGATGGGGAGAGAGAGGGAGGCCTGAGGAGAAGGCTTTAGAGGGACCTGGGCCTACTCCAGCTGGGCGGTGAATGGGCACGGCCCCACCCCACGCGTACACATGCCCGCGCCTGCCACCTACCCCATGAAGCAGCAGAAGAAGCCCAGCACGAAGTTCATCAGGCCTATCTCGTAGGAGATCTTGGTGGTGATGGCCTGCTGGCAGTGGGGGCACACTGTTTGCACAGGTGCGCCCTCAAAAATCTCTCCCTGCAGCACTGTCACTGTGGTGGCAGTCCCTGAAGGGACCAGGACTGTCGCTGTGTGGCCCCCAGGGCCAGGGTAGGGTCCCGGTGGGTAGGGCCCCGGCGGGTAGTAGCCCATGGGTGGGTGGGGGCCTGGAGGAGGGTAGAAGCCTGGAATAAAGCAAAGACAAGTCGTTGGCTTGCCCACGTGAGGTAAGCACAAAACCCCAAGGCCCACAGCACCCAGAGTCAGATATAAGGCCTCAGGGACCAGGTCATGGGGTTGCAGTGGGGACCAGCACTTCTCGTCCCGACCCTCGGGGACTAACCAGACTAGCAAAGTGTTGGGAACAAGGCCCAGTCTCTCTTCATTCTCTGCTTGATGCATCTGCTCCCTTTCCTCTGACAGGGTAGGGGACCAAGGTGTTCTGCTCGAGGACCTCGGCCACAGGAGGGAAAGACCCTTGTGTACACAGACTCCCTCAGATCCCTTCCCACCTTACCTGGGGGCACATAGGTGCCATCTGCATTCACATGTGGGGAGACGAAGCCGGGCTGGGGCACTGGGTGACCCGGCGGCTCATAAGGTGGGGGGCCAATGTCTGCAGGGGGCAGTGACATGCCCGAAGGGGGCTGCATCACAGCTGGGGACGAGCGGCCTGGACAGAGAGCAAGGAGAAAAGCTCAGGAGGCCCCAGCTGCACTGCCTGTGGCAGGGCTGCTCCAGGCACCAGTGCATAGTGGCCGGGATGAGCAAGGGGCCCGACCATCTGGAGTGTAGGGCCCTACCTGGGGTGGGTGGGGCTCCACTTTTCTCCTCCAGAAGTGGGGCTGTGGGGCCGCCAGGATAAGGAGGGGGTGGCTCGTTCGACATCTTTGCTGCTTCTCCTGGACCTGGAAGGAAAACTTGGAAATGAACTAGGTTCCCAGCTCCTGCGCTTGCCAACCTAGGCACGGGTCTGTGGTGAGGGGCACAGGTACAAGGTGTATGACAGTCCTCAGAGCTGCCCCCACCAAGCCTAAGCACACAGGGTCTCCTATGGCTCCTTCCACAGGTATCCCCTGCCCTCAGCGTTCAGGTCACCTTTTACTCCTCTGCCCGTAAACCTCCATGGGCTGATGGGCTGATGGGCTGGGACAATTCCTTCAGGAGAGCTCACAGCTAGCTCCCTCTGGGTCCTGGAGATGCCCCACCGTCACCAGTGTGACCTAGTCCGGAGCCACCATCCATGCTGCTCCATACCTCTCAAGAAGCTACTGACTTCAGCAGTCACCCACACTTACTGTGTGAAACCGAGAGGGCAAGGGTGCTGTTTGAGGAGGACAGAACCCAAGGGGGTTCTCACCCAGTAGCTTGGGAGCCTGACCTAGGTCTCCCCACTAATGGCCCTGGTAGCCTCTGAGCCAAGGCTCTGAGGCCTGCTTGTGGGAAGGGATCCTGGGGAGTTACCTCGAATCCCAGGTTCTCAGAGGTGGTAGGCGGTGGGGCTCCTTCCGCTGCCAGCCTGGGCAGACACGCAGGGGCTCCGGGGAGCTGTTTTAGGGGAAGAACAAGAGACAGTGCCCTTAATGCTGGGGCAGGGGCCCCAAACTAGTACAAGGCTCAGGTAGAGCAACTGGAACCCTCACACCCTGCTGGAAGGATGTGGGACAACACAGCTGCTCAGTTACCATAGTTACCATGTGACCCAGTTACTCCACTCCTGGGTATATACCCAAGAGAACCAAAAACATGGCCACACAACAACTTACACACAAATGTTCATTGCAGCATTATGTATAATAGCCAAAAAGTAGAAGTAACCCAAGTGTCCATCAACTGGATGGATAAATAAGCTGGGTGTGGCCACACCATGCATTATTCAGACGTGAAAAGGAATGAAGTACTGATACTACTACGACCTGAACGAACCCTGACAACATGCTCAGTGAAAGCAGCAGACACAAAGGACCACATGTTGCATGTCTCCTTACATGAAATGTCCGGAACGGGCAAACCCATATGGACAGCAGGCCAGCGGTTGCTGGGGCTGGTGGGGGGCGAGGTGGGGATGGGACAGGGAGCAGGAAGAGAATGGTGGTTTGTGGTTGCCTTTGGAGTGATGAAATAAAACTAACGATGGCTGCACAAGTCTAAATATACTAAAACCACTGTATTGCACACTTTAAATGGGAACTTGTATAGTATGTGGATTACTATTATGTCAGTAAAACATTAAATAACCTGAAGGAAAACAAAATTGCCTAATCTCAATACCCTAATTCAGTCAGTGGCTGTGTATTCCCTGCTAGTCTCTATGCACAGGCACCTATATTTTTATATAGCTGCTTTCATGAAAAAGTTTTAAATCCTTTTAACATTGTGTCACATGTACTTCCTCTATCTTGTCAGATCCCATGGTAATTCATTTAGTATTCTCTAAAATCAGCCCATCAATGTTTCTTTCCTTGACCAACCTTTATTAAAGCACTTAGAATGTTATTTGTTACTTCTTTTTAAGAGAGGTTAACACCTTTGGCTAAACTTGGCAGAGGGGAGATTATTAGGTCAAAGGATGTGAATGTCTTATGCCTTTTGTGAAGGATGATTCCGATTTACAGTGAAAAGTTTAGGTACTACTGTTTCACTAATTCATAATGTTAAAATGACACTTGGTTTTTATTTCTTTGACCACTATGAGGCAGGACATCTTTCCAAGTGTTTATGTTATACACACACTCCTGTGAGTTGCTACTTATAATTATCCTTTGAAGGCATGGAGGCCAAAAGACTGGACTTGTCTGAGCTTACATGGCAGGTTAGAGACAGAGCTGAATCTAGGACCCTGGCATGATTCTCCCACTCCCTGCCCCCTGCCCGCAGGTGAATTCCAACAGCACAGGGTAAGACTGGGCAGCAGCAGGGTTCCAGAGGACATCACAGAAGGTCCCCTTGCAGGCGGGCTGGCTGTACGAGTGAGGCCTCGCGGCCCTTGCCAAAGCCACTCCCTGCAAACGGGAGTGAAGGGCAGCTTTTCTCAGAGAGGCCCTTGTCTGTGTGTTAGAAAACGGGCTGGCACCTGCTCCCATCTGACACCCTTCTGGGATGACTCTGGGTGGCACCACTGTTCAGAGTGAAGCCCCAGCTCACCAGGGGACTGGCCAGGCCCTGGGATGCACCAAGCAGGCCGGAAAGAAAGGTGCATTGTGTTGGCAGGTCGCTTGAGCACCTTCAGGTTCCAGGAGGAAAGAACCTGCCTGGGTGGTCCCGCAGCACACACACACACCACCTCAGAATGCAGGCCTGCCTCTGCGTCAGAATCACTAAATTAATTCCAGTCTCCTACAGCACAGGAATTACACTTCTGGAATTCCGTCACGATGGCACAAGCCTCCCTTGACGTCCACCCACCCTGAGCAGCCCTCTGATGCCTACCCCTGCAAGCCTGCTTCCCCTCCAGGCACTTAGCGCATTACTGCCGGTTCCTCGGCCGCTCCCCTTGAGCAGGGCTCTGCTGCTCCTCCCTCTGTCCTCTCCACCCCACACCCACGCCCCTCCTCCAGCTGCCTCCCAGAGCCCACAGAGACGGGGGCAGGCCCCTCCAATATGAAGGAGGTTTCTGAAAAATGGCTCGTGAGGATTTCCAGAATTCAAACTCCAGTTCTCCCAGTGCCTCCCAATATAAAACCAAATGTGCACTCCCACGAAACTGCATTGTCTAAGATGTGGTAGAAACTATAAGAATTCAGTGATTTAAAAAAAAATCACATCCAAAAAGCAAGGCAGTTTTCCAATAAAAAGGCACTCTGTTCAAATAAAGCTACAGTTGCAAAAGTGGAATCTGCTCTTGTAGCCTCAGCAACTTTCTTGGGCAGGCAGTAGAGCGCTGCTTACAAAGAGGCTAAAGTTAAAGAAGGGAGCACAGACCCTGGGGTCCTGGGGAGGCCACAGGGATGGTCTAGCACTTCCAACAGGCCTCTCCGCCCGCCTCCTGTTTAGATGTAGCCATGAATTGTGAAGTGTCTCAAAACCACCACGAACCTTTATCACAAGCTGATCCAGCAGCTCTTCTGGGGGCCCACAGACCTTTACGCAGTACACCTCTTTATATATCTTCATTTTGTGGATGCAAATGTATAACCCATTCAACATCATAGTAAAATACAAATACATTATCTCAGAACAGAGCTAGAGACCCAGCTGACCACAGTGCAGCACTGGCCAGCCAGCCAGGCACCTGGGATGTCGGAGCTCAGACCCCTCTGCCACAGGCTCAGGAGTGCCTCACTCGTCCGGACTCACCCACGAGCATTGGGGCAGAGATGTTCTCTGTCAGCCAAAGCACATTTAATGAGAAGGAAAATTCTTAAATGAAGTCCTTTGGTGAGTTTAACAACACTGGCACCATTGTCAGAGGCTCAGCAAGGTGTAGCCACAGTCACACCCAGCACAGGCTGTATTCTAGGAATGCATCTCTTGCAAGCCCTGTGGGACTGCAGAAATCCAGATGTTCCTGCGTGAAAACCTTGAGGAGCAGTAATTCTAGCCCATCTGAAGAAACGGGACACTCTCTGGGTGTCTGTGATGGGTGCTATACCGTGCCACACCCTGAACAAGTATTAACTGTCTTCAGACCAACCCTGGAAGTATGGGTTGGAACTAGGCGCTCTGGAAAGTGTACAGGACAGAGGCTGGGTTACTGGATGGCACTCTGTCACAGGGGCTTCAAGGCTCAGATTGACAAAGGATCAGCATCCCCCCGACTGCATTTTCAGGTTGAAGCCCGGCCTGGAAGGAACAGTCCTGACCTTTGCTGGGGCAGGGCGGCAGCATAGGGCAGGTGGCTGGAGTTAGAAAGCTCCAGACTTTTTTTTTTTTCTTAAGGTATTATTGATACACACTCTTATGAAGGTTTCACATGAAAAAACAATGTGGTTACTACATTCACCCATATTATCGTGTCCCCCCCATACCCCATTGCAGTCACTGTCCATCAGTGTAGTAAGATGCCACAGTCACTATTTGTCCTCTCTGTGCCACACTGTCTTCCCCATGACCCCACACACACCATGTGTGTCAATCCTAATACCCCTCAATCCCCTTCTCCCTCTCTCCCCACCCCCTCCCCCTCCCCTCCCCTTTGGTAACCGCTAGTCCCTTCTTGGAGTCTGTGAGTCTGCTGCTGTTTTGTTCCTTCAGTTTTTGCTTCGTTGTTATGCTCCACAGATGAGTGAAATCATTTGGTACTTGTCTTTCTCCGCCTGGCTTATTTCACTGAGCATAATACCCTCTAGCTCCATCCATGTTGTTGCAAATGGTAGGATTTGTTTCTTTCTTATGGCTGAAAAGTATTCCATTGTGTATATGTACCAACTTTTCTTTATCCATTTACTGATAGACACTTACATTGCTTCCATAAATAGTGCTACAATAAACATAGGGGTGCATATGTCTTTTTGAATCTGAGAAATTATATTCTTTGGGTAAATTCCTAGGAGTGGAATTCCCGGGTCAAATGGTATTTCTATTTTTAGTTTTTTGAGGAACCTCCATATTGCTTTCCACAATGGTTGGACTAGCTTACATTCCCACCAGCAGTGTAGGAGGGCTCCCCTTTCTCCGCATCCTTGCCAGCATTTGTTGTTCTTAGTCTTTTTGATACTGGCCATCCTAACTGGTGTGAGGTGATATCTCATTGTGGTTTTAATTTGCATTTCCCTGATAATTAGTGATGTGGAGCATCTTTTCATGTGCCTGTTGGCCAGCTGAATTTCTTTGGAGAACTGTCTGTTCATATCCTCTGCCCATTTTTTAATCAGGTTATTTGGTTTTTGGTTGTTGAGGTGCATAAGCTCTTTATATATTTTGGATGTCAACCCCTTATCAGATCTGTCATTTATGAATATATTCTCCCATACCGTAGGATGCCTTTTTGTTCTGTTGATGGTGTCCTTTGCTGTACAGAAGCTTTTTAGTTTGATGTAGTCCCATGTGTTCATTTTTCCTTTAAAAGCTCCAGACTTTTGAGAAAGCCCTTGAGGGCTCCAATATATGTCATGAGCTCACATCTGCCTGACGCTGTTCACTATGTTCATAGCACAGGCTGTTTCCTTGAGGGGATCAGCAACAAGACCCACAGTATGGAAAGGGCCGTGTCCTGCCCCATGAGACTCAGGGGAGCTGGAGACAGATTTAGGGGAACTCATGGGATGGGAGGTGATGTGTCCAGGAGAGGGAGGTCATGAGTGATCTCTGGGACCCCTATGGGGCAGAGAAGTGACAGTGGGTCTGTGTGTGCCCCTCAGTCCACCGGGGAACAAAACAGGGCCACTTGGGGCCCAATCTGGCCCATGTCCACGACCAGCACATCCTAGTACCCACCAAGCTTTTATGTAGGCAGGACTTACTCAGGTCACCTTAAACTGAAATGAAGCCTGTCTCCACGTCTGTCTGTGGGCCCATGCCTGCCCACGCCCACGTGTAACTTCATCTCACCTTCCCAAGAGCACCAAGCACCTAGGGGTGGTGGGACAGTAAACAGTTCTCCCAGGCAC